CGGCTACCTGCGGCGCATGGACGTCTTCACGGAGGCCGAGCTGCGCATCAAGTTCCTGCAGGCGCGGGACGCCTGGCTGCGCTCCATCCAGGCCTCCATCCCGGACGAGGACCCCTATTTCCACATCACCAAGACCATCGAGGCCTGCCGCGTGCACCTCTTCGACATCGTCACGCAGTACCGCGCCATCTTCTCCGACGAGGAGCCGCTGCTGCCTGCCGATGAGCAGCCCCTCCACGAGGGCGCCATCTTCCACGGCTGGGGGCTTCTCCGAGTTCCGGCGGGTGCTGGAGGGCGACCTGCAGCGCGGCGTGGGCGGCCGCCTCGACTCGCTGCTGGGGCAGTGCATGTACTTTGGCCTCTCCTTCAGCAGGGTGGGCGCTGACTTCCGCGGGCAGCTGGCCCCCATCTTCCAGCGCGTCGCTCTCGGCGCTTTCCGGAAGGCGGTCGAGGAGGCCGTGGAGAAATTCCAGGAGGAGATGAATTCCTACACGCTCATCTCCGCCCCGGCCGTGCTGGGCAGCAGCGTCGCGGCGGCGGTGCCCGCGGCGCAGCCGGGCTCCCTGCAGCCGCCCATGGTGCTGCTGGACTTCCCGCCCCTCGCCTGCTTCCTCAACAACCTCCTCGTCGCCTTCAACGACCTGCGGCTCTGCTGCCCCGTGGCCCTGGCCCAGGACGTCACCGCCTGCCTGGAGGATGCGCTCGGCCAGGTGAGGCTCCAGGGCAGAGCGGGGCTTCGCTTCATGGAGCTGCTGCCTTTGCCATGACCACATGGAGCAGGAGGGTGTCCTGGCACAGAGTGTCCGACTGCTCCGGAGGGCTGAGCGGGGAGCTTGGCACCATGGAGCAGCCGCAGCCGCTTTCCGAGACACGCGGGGCTCTGCAAGCCGTGGGTTCCGTCTTGTCCCTGCCAGGGATGAGGAATTAATGCTGTTGTCTTCTCGCCCCAGGTGACCAAAATCATCCTGGCCTTTCACCGTGCGGAGGAGGCCGCCTTCAGCGGGCGCGAGCAGGAGCTCTTTGTGCAGTTCTGCACCGTGTTCCTGGAAGATCTGCTCCCCTACCTCAACCGCTGCCTCCAGCTGCTCTTCCCGCCGGCCCAGATCGCGCAGGCGCTGGGTAAGTGCTCGTGCCAGAGGGCTGGATGGGCCCCGGGCACGCG